CCTGCTCTGGGTGACCCTGCTTGGGCAGGGGGTTGGGCTGGGTGACCCACAGGTCCCTGCCAACCCCGAACATGCTGGGATTCTGGGATTTACAACCCCGCAGCCGGGACCGCGCCAGCTCCTGGGGCAGAAGCATTGCAGGACACAGTGCTACCCTGTCCAGAAACCTCCATGCCGTCCCTCTCCCCGTCACACACGGCAGAGAATTCAAGCTCAGGGCTGAGCTGTCTACGCATTTCTCGGGCACTGGAGAGAGCATCTGCCCAGTCCACCCTCTTGCCAACAGCAGGATCAGCTCCATCTGAATCCCTCTGTTAAAAAGCAGCAAGGACAGGTGCTGCTTCTTCAAGCCAAGCTATCGGGCACTGGCAGAGCCCTCACAGGCCCAGCACACCCAGTGTACCCAGTAAAAACCAGCAGGAAGGCCCTGCACCAGCGGCTGCTGGCTGGCAGCCATTCGGGAGCTGAGAGGACGTCATCTTTGTTCATCCGTGCTTCTCCTTTCCCCTCCTTTTGTGTCTGTGACCGACACATCCCCAGCCCAGCTAAGCTATTTATTGCAAGCAGCAGCTCTGTTTAAGCCAGCCCTTATCTGAGTACAAAAAGCTCCCAAAATCCATGGGGATCACCTCCTAAGTTGGTCTATTGTCCGAAACTGCTGACAGGCCCCGTGTCCTCCATCACGTTTAGGAAAAGCTGTATTCAAGAGAGGGAAGGCATGGCAGCAGAGATCAGAGACCAGCGTCTGGTCACAGACAACAAGCGGCAGAGACAGCGCACGGGCGGCACAGCTGGGATCTCAGAAACGTCACGTGCGGCAGGACACACGAGAGGAGACATCACAAATCCTCCCCTGCAGCCGCTCCCCATCCTCTCCCAGCGAGGTTTCCTACCCTGGCACTGTGCAGAGAAGTGGGGGTGACAGGCAGGGTGGAAAGCCAAGGACAGGGTCAGCAGAGTGCTGCCACCTCCCGCCGCACTACTGCTCACCGAGTTGGTCCCCAGGATCTGCAGGTTGGGCTTCTCCGACTCCAGCAGCTTCGCCACCATCTTCAGGAAGCTCTCCACGAAGAGGTTGATGCTTTGGCAGTGGCAGGCCATGAGGAGCTGGTCCAGGGCCTCCATGGCAATGCACACATATCTGGGAGAAGGCAGAAGCCAGGGTCACTCCTCGACAGCAGCACGGGCCCACGGCCACCCCTCCCTCTCCCCCAAACCACCTGGGTGCCCACCAGCAAAACACCAACCTCCTGCCCTGGGCAGCCTGGGGAGAAAAATTTTATACCCAAAATACCCTCGGGATATTTTTAGATGGTGTTGGCTGCTCCCAGCGTCTCTCCTCCTAGAGAAGATCCAGCTGACCTGGGACCAAGGCTGCCAGCAACACCTTGCATCTCCCCCAGCATCACTTGTGGGCATCCCTTGCCCTGAACTGGTCTTTCTGCCCCGTGAGGGAGCACTGGGCTTTGTACGGAGCGGGCTCAGCATCACAAGCAACTAATCACAGAATCCCAGCATGGCAGGGGTTGGCAGGGCCCTCTGTGGGTCACCCAGCCCAACCCCCTGCCCAAGCAGGGTCACCCAGAGCAGGGGGCACAGCACCGCGGCCAGGCGGGGCTGGAATATCTCCAGAGAAGGAGACTCCACAGCCCCTCTGGGCAGCCTGGGGCCAGGGCTCCGGCACCCTCAGCCCAGATCTCCTGCCATGGTCAAAAGCAGGAGGTGGCAAGCACAGAGGTGACAAACTGCCCTCTCGGGTCCAAGTTGGTGTCTGATAAACCCTGGAGCTCCAGGTTCCAGCTGGTAAAACGCAGAAAGATCGATCCCTTCTCCTGAGGTCCCAGAACTGCTGAAATCCAGCTCCAGTCTTGAGCTGATTCTCTGGTGTCTTGCAGCGTGGTTCAGCTCACACTGCAGCCTGTCCTTCAGGCACCATCGCAGCTCCTCTAGATACTGTGAAAATAAGCAGCCAACTATTCCTGGATCTGTGAGGCTCTTACCATCTGTCAAACTGGGTTAAAACCGGCCCAGAGGGAAGAAAAGGTATGAAGAGGTGACTGACAACCAGCACGAAGCTCCTTCCTCGTAGGAAACAAGGCTGAAAACAACATTCTGTGCCCAATATTACTGCAGCAGCGTGGCTTCTCTTTTGGGGACAACCGGACACAGGCCACCAAGAGGGAAAAGGGACACTCGTGGAGCTGCCACCTCTGATCTACCCCAACCATCCTCTTCCAGATGGTGGGCTGCATCGCTGCAAACTCAAACAAGAATATTTTTTCCTTTTAGCAATAAAGGTAACAAAAAGACAGGCCTGAAATCAAGGCTACCTTCACAGAATCACAGAATCACAGAAGCACAGAATGGTAGGGGTTGGAAGGGACCTCTGTGGGTCATCTAGTCCACCCCTCCTGCCAAAGTAGGGTCACCTACAGCAGGCTGCACAGGACCTTGTCCAGGTGGGTCTTGAATATCTCCAGAGAAGGAGACTCCACAAC